CCCCCCACCCCCACGTCACAGCCTCACCACCACCGCCTCCAGGCTGCTCCTGGCAGCCCTCTCCCGCACACTGAACTCATTTTGGCTCCATCCCAGAGCTTTGGGGGGGTGCCAAAAAATGCACTGGCCTCTGGCCTCCAGAAATGTTAATCCAACCCTGGGGGTAAACCCTGAGCCTCGGCACTTCCCCCTCCCCGCCATGGGGCTGGAACTTGAGGGGAGTGGCTTCGGAACTTGAGGGGCGTGTCTTCCTTAGCTGGGGGCCACATTTGTGAGAATTTTTTCTCGCCTCACTTGGGGACCAGGTCAGTGAGGGTTGGGGGCAGGGAGTTGTTGATTTTGCTTCTCACTTGTGTGTAGCCCCCAAATGATTTTTCTGTCGGTTAGTGGCCACTGACCCAAGAGTTCTACACCCCTAATATGTCAGAAGAACCACATGCCTCCTCCCTCATGCACCAAACACCTCCAATGGCTACGCCTATTAACAGGGCTCGACAAACACGATTATCTATTCGCCTGTGGCGAGTAGATTTCAGCCAGTTGCCCCGTTCACTGGCGGTCCGCGCATGCGCAGTGCAGGTCTCACGCATGTGTGGTGCAGGGCTGACGAGTGGTTTTCACCGCGATCATCGAGCCCTGCCTTTTAATAATTTCAAAACAGCAGCACTTCATCTCTCATTCATGTGAGATGCAGCAACATCCACTAATACAAATGCATTTGTGTGCACATATCTAAATATACATGAATACCTGCCATCCTTCAGGCTGTTAACGATGTATCTGTTAATCTGGCAGATACAGTGGGCAGACAAGCGCTTTTCTTCAATTAGAGAATTCAGCTGTGTAGCCAGCATGAACGCTGCATAAATAAATTAAATAAATAAATAAAAATACATACATACAGAAGAAAAACAGTAAAACAACCAGCATATGCATCCCTGAAAGGATGGCAATTATAGCTAACTACAGTCACTCTATTCAAAAAACTGGTCCTGCATAGGTTGATGGCCTGCACAGTTAATCTTACACAAACCAGTGCAATCACAAACGAGAAAGTGTGACTATATCCCAAACATAAATTACATATTAACTCTCTAAAGTCTGAGAACAGAACACAGAGCTTTCTATATTCCCCCACATTTGCCACAGAAAATGCATCATGGCTTCTGGGCATCAGACACACCCTATCAGGAATATTTTGAAGAAATTCGTTCCCCGGGTAAAAAAGAAAAACTTGTCAAGTGGAAGTAGCGCAACATGACGATGCAGGGTCTAGTTGCAAGAACAAAACTAATAAGGAAAACTGCTTATTGGGAGAAAATGATGTAGATGAAGATGTGGATACATCTTCTAAAAGATAAAGATGAAGATCTAAGTGGTATCCACAGTTAGTAATTTAAATAATTCACTTTGAAATACATCATTCATCAAGACTCTATGCCTTTTAGTGTGTGATTTGACAAGTAAATTCCCAAGCTGTTTGCTGTATTACATTTTGCTGAAAAAAAAATTCTCTTAGCTAATCCTTATAGCTTGTTTTTAATTAGTTAACCAGGATTAGAATCTGTCATTCAAGTATACAATATAGAAAGCTACAGTAAAAGAAATCTAGAGTTGCCAGTTGCCACTGACTGTCATTTTCTTATCAGATATTACAAAATACATGCCTCTCATTTTGGAACATCATGGTCCAGATCATAATTACCTATTTTTCTTCAGCATAACTTATCTTTTCCAAGAGAACCCCAGAGGGGCCAGTGAGTTCAATCCGGGCTTACTCCAAAATTTGGGGTTTACTCCAAAATTAAGTGCACTCTAAGCACATTAAATCTAAGCTTCTTTGATAACTTGATTTAAATTCATGACTCAAATCACCTTGATTTAAATCAATCCACCCAGACCACCATTATTAAGATAGTCGCTAATCACCATTCCATAGAATTGAGCTGTTCTCTATAATAAACAAATTCTTGGACACACTGCAACAACTCAGAAAAGCTGGAGTTTATTTATAAGATAAAATACAGTTACAGATTCCAACATCAAAATAAATTCTATACCATTCACATTCTGGAACTCAGTTCAGCAGCAAATACCACTGTCATTAATTCTGACCATTGGGTCTAATTATTAGCCATGTACTTGTAAATTCTTGTGACAATGCATAACTTACAGGAGAGTGTGTTCACCCCATCGCTCATCAGCACACGGTAACGAGGTGGCCCATTTCCTGTGGCGATGGCTCGGATGTTCTAGAAGGAAAAACTTGAATTCTTAGCCCTGATCTGATTTTACAGGCATACATTAGAAACAACGAAGAGCTGACACCTGTTCTGGAGAGCTTACTCATAAAACAGAAAACTAAGATAGATGACATTCAATTAAAGCCTCTCTCAGACTGACTAAAACATGCTTGTGCAGATTCATGCCAATGAGCCTTTCAAGTACAAGTTGCTAGTACTGGTCTACTCACCTACAAGACTTTCACTTCTTTGGCAGCTCAAACGGAGCTAGAAGTGGTGGGGAGGGAGGGGAAGGAGCCTGCCACTTCCAGCCCTGCACAAGGCTGCTGCTTCCACCCCTTGTGATGCTGCAGATTCCCAGCCTGCGAGCCCAGATTGGGAGCTGACAGCCAAGAGCGGGGTTGGAAGTCTCAGCCCACAGTGCAGGGTCCTCTCCAGCTCACCCACTTCTGTCAAATCATTTAACCAGTTAAACTTAATGGTTGCCAGGTTAGGTACCTTGTCTTTATGGATTTGTAAAACGGCACATACACTTACAAGTACATTAAGCTACAGGTCACACGAGTAAGAGGACATTTGAAGGAATACTCACAATGACTTGGAGAACAGGTCTTAAATTATTCTCTCCCTGCATTATGGCCTGTAAAGGAAGATAGAGGATTTAATCCTTTTGATTGGAAATGATTTTCTTTAAACTTTGTAACCAGGGAGATTAGCAAATAAATAACTAGACTAATTATAATAAACGGCTCCCAAAGTGCTAAATCAAACGTAGATAGTATGCCAGCAATGTGAACATCCTGAAAAGTTCTGTTCACTGTAGAAGGAATCACACTGCTGGTACAAGGAAAAGGGCAAGACTATGTGCTGAGAGACGTGTTTCACCTAAGAAATCCCTGGACTTTATGGGAAGTAACAGGCCAAGTTGCTAGTTCATCATTTCTCACACAGTAGCCTGTTGAGCCCTTTCAGGCAGTCTATGGAGATGCTGAAAGTAGTTCTACTTCCTACAGACTGTAACTTATTCAAGGACTTCAGAATTCTCTCTGGCACACCCCAACATTGCCCCCCCCCCGGGGTGCTCCGGAGACAGCTGGGGGAGGGGAGATTAGTCACAGTCCTCAGCAGCCTGCGCTCCCCTCCCCGCTCCACGGGGCCAACAGGACGGACTCCCCCAGTCCACACCGGCCCGGGGACTGTCCCCCTCGTCTCAGCGCATGGTGCACCCCGCAACCCCGCCCATCCCGGGGGGGGGCCCCCCCGCAACC